TTTAAAAGTGAGCGAAAATGGGTATAAAAATAGCTAAACTTTTATTTTTTAAAAAAATACTTGTTTATTGTATTATAAAATGATTCTATTTACAGTAAAATCTCATCCTATTTTTGAGCATTAAAAAACAGGAGAAATTCGTGTCTGTCCCGAACAAACTGGGACCTATATCTTGGAAATAACAAGTTTTTTTCTATATTAATGTTCTTCAACTTTAATTCTTTAATAAGACTATAACTAAAAACATTACATTATATTTTAATTTTAAAAGATAATTTTTCTTCCAATTTTATATGCTAATGANTTCTGCTAAACAATGTTGTGTTCGATTAACTCCTGATATGCCTTACATATCATTCAAGTTGAACAAATGCAAAGCTCTTCGTGGGGAAGGTGAGTTTAATGAATTTAGTTTCATATATTGATGACTATAAGTTTAACAAACTTAAATACGAGTTTGTGGTTATTTTTTATGTTAATAAATTAAGAATTAAACATATTTTTATTCTTATTTATATTAGGAAAAGTATGTAATCCCAATGACGATGATGATGGTGTATATATGTTCCAATGTCCTTGCCAAGAAGGATTAGAATGTGTTGAAGAAACTAAAGAATCTTCCTCAAGTGTATGCAATTAAATTCATAGCAATATTGTTACAGAACTATAACTAAAAACATTACATTATATTTTAATTTTAAAAGATAATTTTTCTTCCAATTTTATATGCTAATGATTTTACAAATGTACCGTGGAAACGTATTTTGTTATTAAAGCACATCAAAGATTTGTGTATCGAGTAATTATCTAAACTATTTTCTCTATAAATTAATAAAGCAATTTTTCCTTACACTTCATAAAAATTATTATGAAAGATTCGGACAGTTACCTTTTTACAACACAGTTTTCCACTGTTTTGTATTGTTTTTATTCAGGTAACCTTAACTATAGTCTATATTATAACATATATTTATTAACAGATTTTTTTATAATTAAAATAGAATTTTAAAAATAATTTTCTTCTATTGTATTAATNCAATAATTCGTCCTCGGATTGTTTCTTCTAATTTAATATATTATTTATTAGTACACTGGCCACAACCCAAGTTTCAATAAGACATTTAAAAAAGAATAATAGTAATTACAACAGTATAATTATAGAAAGGTATAACATAGTATTAAACAATGACGTCGTCGCCGCGTGGGAAGATCTATCCAGAAATTAGCCACAACCTCCTTATAGATGAAGATGTAGAAATTAATAACAATATTTCCTTTGATACATATTGCAAACAGTGATATTCAATAATTTATTTAAATTTTAAATGTTAATTGGGTGTGAGGTAACTCGCGACAATTTTAGAATCATCTTGCATCACTTGCTCATTGCTTTAAACGATTGCAAATTGCAATCGTTGTGGTTTCATACAATAACGATTGCAATTTGCGACGCGATAAAAGAAGTGAGTTACATTTTTGAGAGAAAAGTAACGATAAAATGCTATTACAAATATCGCTCTGATATGCTATAAACCTATCATAATGCTTGTAAGTTTCTACAAGTAAAACTACTAAACAAACAACATGGCGGATCGTCGGAGAACACTTTTGACCATGAGAAAATAATTCTGAAATTAATTTTTCTTTCACTTCTAACTTACATCTTGGCACAAATTGTTGGTCGCCATACTATTAAGAAATCGAGATAATTTTACACTATTTCACAAGAATGAGGCTACATTTACATGCACGTAAAAGTAGGAATCAATCATCACGGTAATTAACTGCAGATGTCATATGACTTTGACGTCACTGGCTCTCTCAACTGTAGAAGCACTTAATTGCATTACTCGTGTATATGGTATATATCCTACATAAAAACTTCTAGATGGAAAAAGAGTGACGTTAAACAGACTAGCACAAAAACTATTGTGGACAGTCTGTCCTAAATATGTCCGACCCGGCCACCTCTATTGTGGGCCTAACCAAACACATAATTAGCGTGATTAAAACGAAGTCTTCTTAGTGCTTGTAGGGCGAAAAGAGTAAAAAATAATAATAAACAAAAAGTAGAAGCGGCTTCCCCAATTTAACAGGATCGAAATCTAACGCAAGTCTTTTCCTATATAGTACTGACATAGTACTGTATGTATAATTGGATAACTACTGTATAAGTAACAACAACGCACATATGACGTACAGTACTGTACTTCGTACCGCTGTTATCTTTGACCTGCTATTTTTATTTTAAAATAATAATCTGTTATTATTTTTTCGAAATAACAGTTGAACAGGTTGAAAAAATAGCGTGCGTTAAATAAATAATAACCAATAACTAACGTGGTTTTCTGGGTTTTCTTCAAGTGTGTAAAACCCAAGTACAACCAGGTTCTCAGAAAGTTCCCAGGTGGTACTCCTTAGCAGATTGCCTGTGTTGCATTCAAGGGTGCCAGTCCATTTGGGGCATTTGGGGCATGTGCCTCTTTTTTGCAGGGTTGACCTTTTCTTAATCCTTAAGAGAGGTCTAAGGTTTCATTTTATTTTTATCACAGAAAACATTTTTACTTATAACTAAAATCATAGATAAATAAAATAAAAATATTTGTTTATTAATTAACCAAAATTTGTTATAGCGGGTGATGATTGTTCGGTCGAATACCGAGGTACCACTATTTGATTCACGCAATTTTGATGTACACGGATAGCATCTAGGAATTAATAGCGTTAATTAAATTCAGATTTATTTACTATTGAACACAAGACTGTGTTATATTAAAACACTTGGCGTTTATCCACTTTATTCAGTTGACGTTGTAAACATCCCAAATATACGCCGGTTTAATATCTTCATCTACAGCCAAAATATCATTCTGTACACAACGAAAACGCCTACGATATAACTTATTTCTTCTAGGTGACATCTACTTACATTAAAAAGAACGAATATGCTCACATCACGTTTCCCATACGAGGGCGGTTGAATCGTATGGGAAACGTGATGTGAGCATATTCGTTCTTTTTAATGTAAGTAGATGTCACCTAGAAGAAATAAGTTATATCGTAGGCGTTTTCGTTGTGTACAGAATGATATTTTGGCTGTAGATGAAGATATTAAACCGGCGTATATTTGGGATGTTTACAACGTCAACTGAATAAAGTGGATAAACGCCAAGTGTTTTAATATAACACAGTCTTGTGTTCAATAGTAAATAAATNATATCGTAGGCGTTTTCGTTGTGTACAGAATGATATTTTGGCTGTAGATGAAGATATTAAACCGGCGTATATTTGGGATGTTTACAACGTCAACTGAATAAAGTGGATAAACGCCAAGTGTTTTAATATAACACAGTCTTGTGTTCAATAGTAAATAAATACGAAAACACGGTTTCAAAAAACGAATCAAATTCAGATTTTTTATAAAGTTATATACAGTGAATTACTCTTCTAGCAAAGTTTGACTTTAATTTTATTTATCCTGCAAGATAAATTACATAGTATATAGTTGTATTTACAGTAGAAACAGAATAAGATTCTGTATAAATCAAAAGTTTATTTTACAGCAGTACACATGCATAGAAAATAGTTACAGTATAAATCACAAAGTTGATNTTTCCCGAAACTCGCGCAGGTGTTTAAGACAATCAGGAAACAACTCCGATAATTTTCACTTACACTAAGATATAAAATTTAAATACAGTAGTAATAAAAACTTGTATAAAAAAATCAGTCAAAATTGTGTGTGGCGCCATCTGTATGAGATTTTATTTAAAAATATCTTTTTATAATATTAAGTACAGTAGTATAATTATCAAGCCTTACTTTAGAGATTAAGGTGAGTCAAAAATAAAAAAAAAAATAAAAAAACCAAAATGTCAATAACAACTAAAACTTTCATTAAGTCTGACTCTATTCGAGATTTGACTTACCCCTCTCCATTACCCCTCCCCTTGACTTAAAATCTCCAAAATTTAGTAGCATTAACGCCCAAATATAAAAACAATAATAAATAGTAATTTAGTAAATCATCCCATGAACCGAATTACCCTCGAATTATCTATTTTTTGTCGCATGCCGATTTAAGACGCACGTGCGCAGCCGTTTCTAAATTTACGGGTGCAAAAATCAATATTAGGAACCATTTAAACGTTGCATCATTACAAATTCTTCGTCTCGAGACGTCGCACTATACATATCATCCAATAAGGTAAATGACGTAAGTAGGTATTACACGTAAATAGATAACACATATCTATATCGGAAATTATTTATTTATTTAATTCCGAACTTCCCAGTGTTTAGGGTCTGGTCACCGCAATGAGCGGCAACGCATTACATTTATAAGCCTGTTAGAAAAATATAAGGGAGACTGCAGTAATCGGGGACACAAGATTTTGTTAGTCTTTATCACGAGACCTTCGTTAGAGAACATTTAAAAAGAACTTCGTTAGAGAACATTTAAAAAGATCTTTCTATGAATTCCAATACGTTGGTCATTTTATAGTATACGACATTAAATTAATTAATTAAAATCCTAACCTGTTTTTTTTCGCAAAAAAATTAAAAACCAGACATCTAAGCAGTATCCGGTATTCCCCTGTAGTGCAGGGTAATAGTGAACAAATATCCTGGTAACAACAAACAGCTAAAAAATGGTCAAAATTTTGGATGCAGTTGAAATATAATTTACTTACACATATTCATTGAACATTGAAATGCAATAGATTCGTCAATTTACAAAAAAAAAANCTTAACTATAGTCTATATTATAACATATATTTATTAACAGATTTTTTTATAATTAAAATAGAATTTTAAAAATAATTTTCTTCTATTGTATTAATTTTCAGCGTAAAAATTAAATATATCGATGCAAACAATAACATTAACTCTTTATCTAGGAAACAGCTTGTTGCAGCGCCATAACTTATCAAGGTATCAAAGTCAAAATGCCGATACCATTCATAATTTCATAATATATTTGAACAGACAATGATAATTAATTGATAAAAAAGAATATATATTTCGTCGGAAACTGCACTTTGTAACATTTGCTTCTTAAACAACAAATAAGGATGAAATACCTGTGCGTTGCTGCTCTTCTCGCTGTCAGTCTGTATGAGGTAACCTATTCATTTTAAATTATTTAACATTGGTTGGTTCAAAGATGCAAGCTGTAAATAAACAAACCAAGCGATTGGTTTGCTTACTTAGCTGCTTTCTATCCAAAAATAAACATTAATCCTAATCGTTTGATTTACAAATATTTTTTATGCCTCAAAGTATAAGGAAAACACTGTCCATAAACGATTCATGGCCGATTATGGTTCTCCAGGATTCGTTTCTGGATCTTCCAGAGAAGTAGGCTAACTCGGCCTATTCTTATATTATTCTATGGAAAATTATATTTAAAATTTTCAAAAGTTTCATATCAACACAGCGTGTAAAAAATATTCCATATTAAAATATATAAGCCAATAATAATAATAAACCAAAACTAATAGTAGCTAGAAGACATTTTTACAGAACAAGAAGACAAAATTATTATTTTTCCCCTTCAATTTACACATTTAAGCAGGGATCAGCATTAAATAATGAGGCTTTTCCTGTGTGATTTCGCGTTCCTGTGGTATAAGACAAATCGAATTAATATATGATACTTAATTTATTTGTATATCTCTTCTAACTATATAATAATTATATGTTACTAGCAGAAAGACCAGGATAAAAAGGAAGCAAATTTTTAATACGGTTTGTCATTGGTAATTATCAACACAAGAAATGTCTAAATGATTTAATATTTCTGTAAAATCGCCTATCGTATATTTAAAAAAATATATATATAATAAAAAGGCAACTGTCTGAATAAACAGAATCACATTACGGTGACCGTTTCACACACAAGAATTTTCAACCATTTCCGATCTTTCTTTCCAGATTTCTAGAATGATGACGTAGTTGCCTCGCCGGGTATGCACATTACTCTACAATGCGAATATCCGGTGAGGCAACTACTACGTCATCTTTATAGAAATGGAAACGGGGAAGCATCACTGTATATTGGTAATTTTAATTAATAACTAAGCAGAAGGGTCATTTTAGTTATTTTAAATCAGGCCATTCTGGTAAAAAGTTACGTCTATTACATTTTTTTCAACCCTGTAGGTAGTTTTCCTTTAATTTCTACAGGGGACAAACAGATACGCATTCAGAACTATATATATATGTATAACATCAGATAAACTAAAACATTAATAAAATTAACCTAAGAAAGTTTTCAATAATATTATCTCTCTTTATTAAATATAAATACATTAAAATTCATTTCAAATTTTTCTAAATTAAATTTTGAAATGATTCTACAGCTTGTTTGTATACTATATACGAGAATTTTGACCGATTTATGTAGATATTCCGAAAAATATATTCGTCAATTGGATTGATAGGTTAAGGAAACCAAGGGATACTGGCCCCTATTCAGGTGTTAATTATGTAGAGAGAAATTAGTTATTTTTTCCTCCACCAAAATCGGTTTTTACTCGGATTTTAGCTCATAACTCTGTTCTACAACCCGCTTTGTATTTTCCGGTTTTCTACAATCCATCTAATTAATTAATTTTACACTTTTTAGGTGGCAGAGGGTTATGCAATGAAGCATTGCAAGTCATCAGATGATTGTTCTGCTAAACAATGTTGTGTTCGATTAACTCCTGATATGCCTTACATATCATTCAAGTTGAACAAATGCAAAGCTCTTCGTGGGGAAGGTGAGTTTAATGAATTTAGTTTCATATATTGATGACTATAAGTTTAACAAACTTAAATACGAGTTTGTGGTTATTTTTTATGTTAATAAATTAAGAATTAAACATATTTTTATTCTTATTTATATTAGGAAAAGTATGTAATCCCAATGACGATGATGATGGTGTATATATGTTCCAATGTCCTTGCCAAGAAGGATTAGAATGTGTTGAAGAAACTAAAGGATCTTCCTCAAGTGTATGCAATTAAATTCATAGCAATATTGTTTCCGATTAAGCCTTAAAAAATATATCTCACATTTGTTTATTTGTAGAAATCTTCCTCATCTTCCTCATCTTCCTCATCGTCTTCATCGTCCTCTGAAGAGACAGAATATAGATGTCGGGCTACTGCTACTGAAGCACCAGCTGAGGAAACTGAAGCTCCTGAAGGTGGAGAAGGGGAAAATGAAGCATCCCATGAAGAACAACCAGAAGTTAACGCTGTTTAAAATATAAAATAAATAAAATTCATTTTAAAATGTATAAATTTAATATTTATGTAAAAAATTTTAATGTTTACATAATAAATAATAAAAACGCATATGAATTTATAATTTGTGATAAATATTGGTAGTGAGGGATGAGGCCTGACATATCTGGGACAGACCATTATCCATCCTGGGTTATAAAACGTTTTTAAAAGATTAAAATGTGGGCCTAATGCTAGATCATCATTACTTTTGATTATAAATCATTAGTGTTTTGAAAAATATCTAGATCTTTGTATCCAGATACTAAATTGTACTTTGTACCTATACTGTATACAGATACAATTTGTGTACGTATCTTGGATACCGAAGATACACAGATGCTGTCACCAGTTAATTTTCCCATTAATCTAGGTTAAAAATAAAATAAATATACCAAAAATTACCAAGAGTATTTGATATTTCTATATTTTTTGGATATCTTTTCATAGCAATATTATTTCAGTAGCCTAAGCTACTCTACTATAATATGTCCATTGTTTGGATTGAATTCCTTTCCACCATACAGAGTTGCTTTTACATTTTCAGTCTATTTAGCCTGACATTTTAAACTCTTTCTGTATTGGGCACTGAGAGGATCTATTAATGGGTTTCACCAGACCGACAATATGAGTTTGGGTGATAAGGGATGGACTCGACAAATCAAGAACAGACCACATACGAGCAATTACGCGATTGTCACCAAGGCCTACTATTTCTTGAAAGAAAACCTAACTAGATGTTAATCAGAGGTACTGGGGAAAATGAAGCACCCCATGAAGTACATATAAAAATGGAAGTGAATTGGTTTATCGATGTTTTAGCGTATATTCGCTATTCGACACAAAAGTTTCTATAACATAATTTCCTGATTTCTTATTATTCAGAAAACCAGTTTAAATAAAAATCTTCGAGCAAGAACAGAAATGAAAGAGAATAGAAGACAGGGAGATTTATCAATCTAAGCTCTAGAATTGAAGTGTTGTAGGTATTTCTATAGGAGATCAGAGAACTCCATATAATTAAGTTAAGATGAACGACGAGATTTCGTTTAAAATTGAAGTACAGTAGAAGAAAACAATGCTTTTCTCAAAAATTAGCGCAGTGTCACTGGAAAGTGACAACCAATATTATATTTGCCATAGCTAAAACAAAAGCTAGATTCGTCCTCCGAAGTTCCGACATTCCTGCAGCTAAATCAACCTACTTCGTATACCATCTACCTTCTATTACATACTAAGGTTTTCTTGTAAATACATCTACAAATAGCTGCATCTATTAAAAATATATTTACTGTAATTATGATATTTTTGGGAAAGTCCACGCTTCTTCTAGCAACAAATACATCTCGGAAATATAACAATATTGTCAATTATTTCTGACAAAAGTTTTCATTTTCTATATATTTTACATCGTTGTCTTTTTACGTATATAAACCAACGCATTTTTAGTGTAATCGTTGATTGTGGCGTATTTATGGGGAATGATGTGGGTGTTGGATCCTCCGGAGACTTCAGGAATAAAATTCAAATAAAAAAATTCGTCTTAAAACTAAAATTGCATTTTCTTAATGAATAATTCAATATCAATCAATTATTTTATTTCTTATTATAAGAAAAATAAATGCTTACTATACTAAATGACAGTGGTTGTTCTAGATCTTTATTTTCATAGACAATGGACGACAATGAAAATCTATGGGTCTGAATTTTGAAAATTGCAACCCAATAAAGCATTTTACAGTTTCTTTCAAGAATCAGTTACTAAACTCCTGAAGCCCTCTAAAATTGTTGCTGAAACTGCACATATCACTAAATAATGTGTGAGTAACTCTTAGACTATTGAATAATGTCTAAGAATTACACCGTTAAATAATATTCCTGTTATAAAAACTAAATATGGAATAAATTACATTAAAAATCTTCAAAGTCTTGTTATAAAATTAAATACCCACATAACGCCGGATATTAATGTCTTTCTAAATGTTCATTTGATTCATTAATTAAAAGTGGCCTTTTTAAATCTTAAATAAAAACATTTCGTTTCGAAAAAGGAAGTAATTTTCTTATTTATATTCTCGTTATAATAAATCATTATTTATCCCGTAAAATTTTACTTATTTCTCCTTTTAAAACAAGAAATTTCCTCTTTTCTGAATGAATATTGAAGTTTCCTCTTTCTAATCTGAAAAGTATCGGTACTTATCTAATGTATTATATTTATTTTTCTATTTACTGTATGATTGTTCTTTACATTGTCCTTTACAAATTAAAATTAAATTAAATTTAAATGTATTTATTTATTTATAATTATTATATATAATAAGAGATTGCGGTCTGGCTGCTTGTCTTCTGCCAAATTGCTTAATAATTGTTTAGACTTAATAGCCCAATAAAAGAATTTGCTGTTTGTTTGATATTTGAAGTAATTATAGGGTTAATTGTATTTATAATGTAAACGTTTATTAACTGATTGTATCTCAATTATTTAATTTAGATACAATAGCAGTTTCAATAAATACAGTAGAATCCGTTTATTGTACAGTCGACCCCCCTATAAGATATAGATACGTTCCAATTTATTAGGAATCCGATTTCTTACAAGTCGTTCCAATCACAAGCCCGACACGTGTCAAGTTTACGGACTACGGCTGATTGAAAGGTTTTCTTCCATAAAATTAATCGATTCTACACTAATCCGACTCAACATTTCCAAAATACGTATATTTTTTCGTAGTTTTATAGGAATCGTAATTATAGGGACCGTAATTATAGGGGGGTCGACTGTAATTACTACAAGAATCTCCTAAACTGAGAATCGCTTAAACTTATCAAAACGGGATAAATAACTTAGATTTTAATTAGAGAAAATTTTGGTTTCATTGTTACTGCTGCTAAAATAATTTAAAAATTCATTATCAGCGACAACATTGATGGGATAAACGAAGGAGACTGGGCAGTAGCGTAGCGTGGATGTCAGCCGCCCGGGGCAGAAAAAAATTTTACCGCCCCTTATTTAGATATCTTAATTTAAGAAAACTAAAATTCAGTTTCGTCACAGAATAAATAATGAAAAATTCCGTGCTCATTTCAATCGGTCCGAATCGTAGGTGCGACAAAAATATGAAATGAAATGGTTCAAATTTTTACAAGATATTATTATTATTTATTGTGAAATTTTGCCGCCGCCCCCACTACGCTACGCCACTGAGACTGGATGATAAAAAACAGGACCCGACATATCCGGGAGGACCTAAAAAATTTCTGGAATTCTCTGCCCTTTAAGAATAGATTCTGGATCTCCAGAGAGGTAGTCTGACGTCTTAATTGCCTCGGCCATCCCGGCCTGTCCAAACTCTGATTATAAAGTATTTTAACTTGTTTGTTTTGGGGCTCGGTAACTTTGAAAACATTATCCGTGACTACAATTAGACTCTAATAATAGAACTTGTAAAGTAATGTAGTAACAATAATGCAGATAGGAAAACCTTCAATTTTTTTAACAAGAAGAAGAGAAATCAGTTTCTATGAAAATGCATCTAATTTAAAAACTAAATGGAAAAATAATTATTTAATATTATGCGAATATAATGAAGAAAATTACTTCCTTTCGTTCGTAACGAAATGACTTTTATTCAAGATAAATATCGAACATTTTCTTTTCACTTTCCTCTATCTAATGGATATATATATATATAAGGCAGATGGCTTAGTACGTAATGATATTTTAAATATAACTAATAGCTTCAATTTGCTCAATTTGCAGAAAATGGAAAGTAAAATACTCTCGACTAAGACAGAAATTGTTTGGAGAAGCGTCCTAGTAATACTTTATCTTCATCTTGCAGCAATTTTTGGATTATACTTTACATTGTTTAAAGCAAAATGGCAAACAAACGCCTTTAGTAAGTATAATTTTCACATTGCTCGTATTTTCCTTTCTTATCTCTTTGCTTTCTTCCTTTCTTCAGCCTAAATCATTGATTAATTAAGCCCAACCCCTAGTAATAATTACTTACTTGAATTCTTCTAATGCTATAAAATTATCTTATTTTTCAATTAAATCCAGTGGCAAAGCTACCGTAGATGCAGACTATGCAACTGCATAAGTCAACCAGGGGCCCATTTTGTCAGGAAGAATGCGAAAGTTGGGGAACAAAGTGTACAATCACACATTAAAGTACAAAATATTGGAAATGAATAATATCAGTATTCAGAAGGGTCTTGAAGAAGCCAGAAACTCACAAGATCTTTTATTGCCGCCTTTACATAGGGACCCAAATTTTGAAGCTCCACTGCTGTTTAAATTTGAAAAATTTATAATGTTTATAATTTATATATGATACTATTAAAATGTATTTGTAATATTGTATTTTTGTTAATATTAAAACATTCAAATTTGGGTGTTTAGATCTTGCTTTTGCCTTTTGTGCGGGTCTTGGTATAACAGCTGGAGCGCATAGATTGTGGTGTCATAAATCATATAAAGCAAAACTACCTCTGCGCATTCTTCTAGCAATTTTTAATTGTATGGCAATGCAGGTAATCAAATTTATTTTAAATTTAATTATCAATTTAGTTATTAATTTGAATAAGTTTTGTTCTTTTGATAGACTAGCATTTACGAATGGTGCCGAGATCATCGAATGCATCATACATTTTCAGAAACCGATGCTGATCCTCATAATGCCTCTAGAGGATTCTTCTTCTCTCACGTAGGGTGGTTGATGGTGAGAAAACATCCTGAAGTAATAAAAAAAGGAGAGAACGTCTACTTCGATGATATCCTATCCGATCCCGTTGTAAGAATCCAGAAAAGGTGTGTAGATTGTATGTGTTTATATGGGCTCGTAAGTATTGTTTAGCATTTCTTTATATGCAATATATTTCTATTACAGATTTTACATCCCGTTAGCTTTCTTACTGGGATTTGTAATTCCAATCTGCTTACCCATCCTGTGTTGGCAAGAAGCATCTCTAAGCTCCTATCATGTCTGTATGTTGCGATACGTAGTTTTACTGAACTCCACCTGGTTTGTAAACAGTTTAGCTCACCATTATGGTCAGAGACCTTATAACAAGCACATAAATCCCAGAGAAAATTTATTAGTATCCTTGCTGGCTATCGGTGAAGGTTTTCATAATTATCATCACACTTTTCCATGGGATTATTCTACTAGTGAGTTGGGTTGGTTTTTCAACTTCAGCACATTCTTCATCGATATGATGGCCGCTATCGGTTTGGCATTCGATCTGAAGACCGTATCTAAAGATCAAATTCAAAAAGTAAAAGAAAAGTCACAAAAAATTTCAAAAAATGTTTCCAATCAGTAAAGTTTTGTGCTTAATATTCAAAATATTGTTTGTTATCTGTTTAAGTAAATTATATTAATTTAGGAAATATATATAATAAATTAATCCAATTTCGAATGATAATTTAGCAATTCTTAGAAATCATAATTAGTATATGATTAGGCTACTAAAATGAATTCTATAACCGAATTATTTACAAATTAAAAAGGATATAGGATTATTGAAATAAATACATAAATAATACAGTCGACCCCCATAACACTGTTAATTTTTCCGTTTTATATGAATTCCATGTTGTACAAGTCACTTAGATTTTACAAATACGTGTGCCGGGCTGTGAACGGCTCACGTATTTGTAAAATCTAAGTGACTTGTACAACATTGTTAACACTATAAATACACTAGAATAACGTAATATTGTAAAAAGTGCTCTTAAAACCAAGTACAATAAAATCTATATGCTTAGGCTTATACTGTAGCAATCATTTTCATATTCGATAGTTAACATTTATCAACCAATATTGTATTTATATATATATATATATATGTGTGNAAAAAAAAAAAAAAAAAAAAAAAAAAAAAAAAAAAAAAAAAAAAAAAAAAAAAAAAAAAAAAAAAAAAAAAAAAAAAAAAAAAAAAAAAAAAAAAAAAAAAAAAAAAAAAAAAAAAAAAAAAAAAAAAAAAAAAAAAAAAAAAAAAAAAAAAAAAAAAAAAAAAAAAAAAAAAAAAAAAAAAAAAAAAAAAAAAAAAAAAAAAAAAAAAAAAAAAAAAAAAAAAAAAAAAAAAAAAAAAAAAAAAAAAAAAAAAAAAAAAAAAAAAAAAAAAAAAAAAAAAAAAAAAAAAAAAAAAAAAAAAAAAAAAAAAAAAAAAAAAAAAAAAAAAAAAAAAAAAAAAAAAAAAAAAAAAAAAAAAAAAAAAAAAAAAAAAAAAAAAAAAAAAAAAAAAAAAAAAAAAAAAAAAAAAAAAAAAAAAAAAAAAAAAAAAAAAAAAAAAAAAAAAAAAAAAAAAAAAAAAAAAAAAAAAAAAAAAAAAAAAAAAAAAAAAAAAAAAAAAAAAAAAAAAAAAAAAAAAAAAAAAAAAAAAAAAAAAAAAAAAAAAAAAAAAAAAAAAAAAAAAAAAAAAAAAAAAAAAAAAAAAAAAAAAAAAAAAAAAAAAAAAAAAAAAAAAAAAAAAAAAAAAAAAAAAAAAAAAAAAAAAAAAAAAAAAAAAAAAAAAAAAAAAAAAAAAAAAAAAAAAAAAAAAAAAAAAAAAAAAAAAAAAAAAAAAAAAAAAAAAAAAAAAAAAAAAAAAAAAAAAAAAAAAAAAAAAAAAAAAAAAAAAAAAAAAAAAAAAAAAAAAAAAAAAAAAAAAAAAAAAAAAAAAAAAAAAAAAAAAAAAAAAAAAAAAAAAAAAAAAAAAAAAAAAAAAAAAAAAAAAAAAAAAAAAAAAAAAAAAAAAAAAAAAAAAAAAAAAAAAAAAAAAAAAAAAAAAAAAAAAAAAAAAAAAAAAAAAAAAAAAAAAAAAAAAAAAAAAAAAAAAAAAAAAAAAAAAAAAAAAAAAAAAAAAAAAAAAAAAAAAAAAAAAAAAAAAAAAAAAAAAAAAAAAAAAAAAAAAAAAAAAAAAAAAAAAAAAAAAAAAAAAAAAAAAAAAAAAAAAAAAAAAAAAAAAAAAAAAAAAAAAAAAAAAAAAAAAAAAAAAAAAAAAAAAAAAAAAAAAAAAAAAAAAAAAAAAAAAAAAAAAAAAAAAAAAAAAAAAAAAAAAAAAAAAAAAAAAAAAAAAAAAAAAAAAAAAAAAAAAAAAAAAAAAAAAAAAAAAAAAAAAAAAAAAAAAAAAAAAAAAAAAAAAAAAAAAAAAAAAAAAAAAAAAAAAAAAAAAAAAAAAAAAAAAAAAAAAAAAAAAAAAAAAAAAAAAAAAAAAAAAAAAAAAAAAAAAAAAAAAAAAAAAAAAAAAAAAAAAAAAAAAAAAAAAAAAAAAAAAAAAAAAAAAAAAAAAAAAAAAAAAAAAAAAAAAAAAAAAAAAAAAAAAAAAAAAAAAAAAAAAAAAAAAAAAAAAAAAAAAAAAAAAAAAAAAAAAAAAAAAAAAAAAAAAAAAAAAAAAAAAAAAAAAAAAAAAAAAAAAAAAAAAAAAAAAAAAAAAAAAAAAAAAAAAAAAAAAAAAAAAAAAAAAAAAAAAAAAAAAAAAAAAAAAAAAAAAAAAAAAAAAAAAAAAAAAAAAAAAAAAAAAAAAAAAAAAAAAAAAAAAAAAAAAAAAAAAAAAAAAAAAAAAAAAAAAAAAAAAAAAAAAAAAAAAAAAAAAAAAAAAAAAAAAAAAAAAAAAAAAAAAAAAAAAAAAAAAAAAAAAAAAAAAAAAAAAAAAAAAAAAAAAAAAAAAAAAAAAAAAAAAAAAAAAAAAAAAAAAAAAAAAAAAAAAAAAAAAAAAAAAAAAAAAAAAAAAAAAAAAAAAAAAAAAAAAAAAAAAAAAAAAAAAAAAAAAAAAAAAAAAAAAAAAAAAAAAAAAAAAAAAAAAAAAAAAAAAAAAAAAAAAAAAAAAAAAAAAAAAAAAAAAAAAAAAAAAAAAAAAAAAAAAAAAAAAAAAAAAAAAAAAAAAAAAAAAAAAAAAAAAAAAAAAAAAAAAAAAAAAAAAAAAAAAAAAAAAAAAAAAAAAAAAAAAAAAAAAAAAAAAAAAAAAAAAAAAAAAAAAAAAAAAAAAAAAAAAAAAAAAAAAAAAAAAAAAAAAAAAAAAAAAAAAAAAAAAAAAAAAAAAAAAAAAAAAAAAAAAAAAAAAAAAAAAAAAAAAAAAAAAAAAAAAAAAAAAAAAAAAAAAAAAAAAAAAAAAAAAAAAAAAAAAAAAAAAAAAAAAAAAAAAAAAAAAAAAAAAAAAAAAAAAAAAAAAAAAAAAAAAAAAAAAAAAAAAAAAAAAAAAAAAAAAAAAAAAAAAAAAAAAAAAAAAAAAAAAAAAAAAAAAAAAAAAAAAAAAAAAAAAAAAAAAAAAAAAAAAAAAAAAAAAAAAAAAAAAAAAAAAAAAAAAAAAAAAAAAAAAAAAAAAAAAAAAAAAAAAAAAAAAAAAAAAAAAAAAAAAAAAAAAAAAAAAAAAAAAAAAAAAAAAAAAAAAAAAAAAAAAAAAAAAAAAAAAAAAAAAAAAAAAAAAAAAAAAAAAAAAAAAAAAAAAAAAAAAAAAAAAAAAAAAAAAAAAAAAAAAAAAAAAAAAAAAAAAAAAAAAAAAAAAAAAAAAAAAAAAAAAAAAAAAAAAAAAAAAAAAAAAAAAAAAAAAAAAAAAAAAAAAAAAAAAAAAAAAAAAAAAAAAAAAAAAAAAAAAAAAAAAAAAAAAAAAAAAAAAAAAAAAAAAAAAAAAAAAAAAAAAAAAAAAAAAAAAAAAAAAAAAAAAAAAAAAAAAAAAAAAAAAAAAAAAAAAAAAAAAAAAAAAAAAAAAAAAAAAAAAAAAAAAAAAAAAAAAAAAAAAAAAAAAAAAAAAAAAAAAAAAAAAAAAAAAAAAAAAAAAAAAAAAAAAAAAAAAAAAAAAAAAAAAAAAAAAAAAAAAAAAAAAAAAAAAAAAAAAAAAAAAAAAAAAAAAAAAAAAAAAAAAAAAAAAAAAAAAAAAAAAAAAAAAAAAAAAAAAAAAAAAAAAAAAAAAAAAAAAAAAAAAAAAAAAAAAAAAAAAAAAAAAAAAAAAAAAAAAAAAAAAAAAAAAAAAAAAAAAAAAAAAAAAAAAAAAAAAAAAAAAAAAAAAAAAAAAAAAAAAAAAAAAAAAAAAAAAAAAAAAAAAAAAAAAAAAAAAAAAAAAAAAAAAAAAAAAAAAAAAAAAAAAAAAAAAAAAAAAAAAAAAAAAAAAAAAAAAAAAAAAAAAAAAAAAAAAAAAAAAAAAAAAAAAAAAAAAAAAAAAAAAAAAAAAAAAAAAAAAAAAAAAAAAAAAAAAAAAAAAAAAAAAAAAAAAAAAAAAAAAAAAAAAAAAAAAAAAAAAAAAAAAAAAAAAAAAAAAAAAAAAAAAAAAAAAAAAAAAAAAAAAAAAAAAAAAAAAAAAAAAAAAAAAAAAAAAAAAAAAAAAAAAAAAAAGTGAACACCTCAAATTTATCACGACAATTTTACTTTTGCCATGGTCAGGAGCAGTTCCGGGATTTTTGGTTTTATTCGATTATGGCAACGCGACACGTTAGCGATCTGGGTAGGGGAATACCTCCCGGTATTTTTAAGGGAAAATTGGCCCTTATTTAGTGTTATTAACGCGAATAAAACCCGGAAAATTTCACGAAGGCAGTCCGTTGGCCAGGCGTGAACTCACGACCAACTACCGGAGTTCGGTGGTTTTATCCACTCGGCAAGTAGTGAGCACCAGAGTAAATTTAACAAATATTAAAAGTTTGGGTATAAATCTTTTATACCCAATGCGTACGGTGCCTAGCAACCCAATGCTGGAACGGTATGTTCCAGCATTGGGTTGCTATTTGATTAAGGAATAAATAATAACTAAAATAATTCGTGTATATTAACTGTGACATCTAAGAAGAGTGTTGAAGCCTAAGAGGAAGTTTGCAGTATCGACGATTGGAGTGAAAAGGGAACACATAGCAAAACATGAAAGCGGTAGTGGTGTGGCAGATCTAATGAAAGCGGTAGTGGTGTGGCAGATGTTTTAGATGCCAAAGTTAACGATGTGAACCATTTTTTTAAAGAATAAAAAAGCAATAATGTGGCTAAAGGTGTGACAACGTTTATCTCCTGCAGATGGCAAGTAGCCTACTCGAGGAGATGAAAAATAAACTTCTCCTACTGTAAAAAATGAGAAGTATTTGGCTGGTGATAGCATTTCCGAGAGAATTATTTGTGAGAAAGCTATGCAAGTTCATAGTGATCTTAGTAATTCGGACATCATCGCTCCTCATTAAGATATAGTAAACGCAATTTTCATTTTATTACAGTATATCGAAACGGATATTGTTTAGGGTCTGGGAACGAATTAATTAACTTTCCAATTTCTAATGGAGAAAATTGTTTTGTACTTCAAACAATTCAGCGTTTGAATGGTCTCCTGGAGTGGATTAAATTCGAAGTACCGATACGTAGCAGCAC